TGTAGGGAATAATTTTCGCTTGATTTACACAAGTTAGCTTAGGATAAATGACGCCTGCATTTGCCAACACATCACCAGAGAAAAAATAGCTAAATCAGTTTCATTCGCTTGGTAATTAGCTAATTTTCCAAACGCTACCCCATAATTACAACTCCATCCATTCCCAGTCATAATCCAAACTACTGGCATTGTATATAAAGCGTGCAAATCTGTTGGAACTCATTAGTGTAATAACAAGTTCCATCGCGTTCTAGTAGTGAAGTGACATTGTAAATGTCGAAGAAGGAAGAGAAGCGTATACGCGTAGCCACGAGTATATTTATTTCCGAGAACACATTGTGGGTGCGCGCGTCTGTACGAAGGTGGGTTGCGTATAGAGTGACACCCGAGTCTTGTGAACTTTCCTGGCCATTGTGTAAGAAAGAAAACGTCGGCCGTCTAAACAAATGCTCGGCTATGGTAATTTGAGAGCAGCGGGTCCGTATTTTTGCCTCCGCGAGCAAAGCGATCGCGAGCGCTGACAATCGAGTCGCATCGTTGAAAAATCCAAGGGCCGCGGCTTTCAAGGCCAAATCCAAGAGACACGCAAATCGATCCGGCCGTCGAAATTCCACACACTTGAACTGCCTCTGACCCCCACATCTTTCTGGGTCGCTAATTCGAGAGGAGAGTCAGTGTAACAGACGATAACTAAATGTGCCGAAAGGTCAAATATCGTTCGAGAGTTCGAACGTGCGCACACGATTCCCTTCGATATCTCTCTCTCTCTCTCTCTCTCTCTCTCTCTCTCTCTCTCTCTCTCTGTCTACGATTAATAATAATTTCGAGTTGAGACTTTCCGAGCCCTTTCACGTTAATACCTGCCCAATGAGCTTGAAAGTATAATCGACAATTTTTTTTTTATTTTATTAAAGAACGCAGTTGTTCTTGTTAAAGTTATAGATTTCAAATGTTTTTATAAGAGTAGATCATAGAGTCGTCAAGCAAAAAAATTAAGAGGACAATTTTGTTTTTATCGTTGAATAAAGGGAAAGAATTTTGTTCTTTTTTTTTCAAAACTTGACAACAATAAATTTAATGTACAACGAAGTAAAATACTTTCCACAACTTTTATTGAATATAGTTATTAAAAATGGATCATGTCATTTGGCGTTGAAAGTTTTTTACTTTAATCTAAACACGAAGGTTAAGAAGCTGTAACGATCGAGTTTTTTTTTTTAATTTTATTAAAATAACTGGTAAACTGTTAAAAATTACTGTTTCCATTAAATAATTATTTAATTGATGTGTTTCACGGGTTGAACGAATTAGCAATTACGCGTGCTCGATTGCAAAAATTCCTAAGCAACAGATTCTTATTTCATTAGAAAAAAAATCGATGTAGTCTGTATATGATAGTAATAAAAAAAAAAAAAAAAAAAAAAAAAGAAAAAAGATAAAGCTGCTGGATTTGAAGCTCGTTTACAGAACTGGGAAATTTTCGCGCAATCTCGATGTTACATGTGACGTGAAATATTTTTTCCATGATATTATCCGATTGACATGAGCAACGGACACTAATGTGTATCATTCATCGGGTATATAAAAAAGAAAGTCACTACTTTTTGCACCGCAGTTACGTAAGAACGGCGACAGCTTTAATCAATCACCGGTACAAAACGTGGAAAAAGCCAATGCTCATCGGAATCTAATATCCAATAGCCAGGCACAGAGCATAGAGTCGCTTATACCATTTGTTCCTTATGGAATTTTATTTTTTCATACGAAAACACAATATTAGAAGCATTGTATCTCATTGGCTCTATCAATTGCCATGAATTGATAACAATTGCAAGAGCAAAAAGGAGCATTGGTAAGGAGTGTCAGCATCGCTCTCGTATCTGGCGAATATTAAACATAATTTAGCTCGAGGACGGCCGGAACCTCGTATCGTGGAATATTTCTCAAAACGTAGATCAAAAGAAGAACTTCCACGACTCGATATTACATTTGTTTCTCTTATGCTCGCAGATACCGAATGGGAAGCGCCCACTTGTTGGAAACCACCATAGGCGGCAGGAAAGATGACGACAGTGGGAGAGTAATTATCGGCTAAAGAAAATGAAGAGATGGGAAAGGGTCGAATTAGCTATAACGGCTTAGCCTACAGCCGTCGATTAGGGTTCGTGAAATTAACGAGTGGAGGAGGAAGGGCAAGAGTCAGTCCCCCACATGTAAATAAGCCGAGCGCGACATTGGCCGAAAAACCGGTCGACGCATTAATTAGCCGAGGTGACGTCGGTCCTAAGCAGCGACCTAACTGGCAAGTGGGCCACACGTGAAAGTGGCGTTGTCAGTGCGTAGGGCCTTAAAAGGCCAGGAGGCGAGTGTGGCCACGGGGCCAAAAATACATCGCCGCGGCTTTTGACTCGCAGCCGGCGCTTAAACCGCGGCGATCGTTACGCTTTCGCGACCCGGGTATTTCCGTCCTCGTCGGCACGAGCTTCCGCGTTCCCGGGTAACTCTTCGTTCGATATCGCTTATCGAGCCACAGCAATGATTCATTGGTTGCGAGAAAAGCCATAATGAATTCTTGCTAAAATAAACGCTTCTTCGGCTCACCGACAAACCGTCTGGGACTTGATTTTTATTGATGGCGTTGCATCTGGTTTATTGGCTCGCGATTATCCGACGACAGTTGATAGTTTGCCATTTACCGTCAAGCTTTTGGATTAAAAAAAACACGAAATATGCACAAAAACATAAACAAAAACAAAACAAAACAAAATAAAACAAAACAAAACAAAACAAAAAAAAACAAAACAAAACAAAAAAAAAAAAAAAATGAAAAATCAATCATATATTATAGCTGGCAAGCTCGCCAATATTCATAAATTATGCCTTTGCAATTAAAAATCAGTTAGATATTTGAATTTAAAATATTTTCTAAACAACACTCTTAAAGTTTGTAATAACCATTGTGCCGAGATTAACTGGTGCTTTGGCTTCCCTCTTCCCTTTTTTTCTTTGCGCGTTACATCGATAAAAGAAATCACGTTGTACGTGACATTTTCATTAGTTGTTTCTGGTATTGCGATTGAAAAAGCTTACTTTCAATTCTCAATACTTTCCGCTCAAGTCACTTCTCTCCCTCGCAATCAATGATATTATTGTAGCTATAACGAAGATAAGGAATAGCCTTTGCGTAATCTTTGATGATTATTTGACGTCTGTGGAAGAGTTTCTCTCCATCGAAATACTTTAGCAATTAAACATGCGAAAGCTCATAATCACCATTATATTGTCATAAAAATCGCTATATAATTCGTAATAGCTGCACGCGCAAACTTGGTCGAGGTAAATGAGAGCGTAAGAGACGGAAGACTTACCGATGAGGCAAAAGAGAAGAAGTAGCGTGGTACCGGCACGGCGCACGGCGACGGCCATTGTTGATTTCCTTGAAGTAAGAGAGGAAGGAGGCTGCGAAATCGATGCGTTAAGCGAGTTTGCGGAGGGGAGGTTCCACAACCGATGCTCACATTATCGTGCCGAGCAACACCTGCGCCGAGGAGCAGAGGCACGCGCACCACATTCAATCGATCTTCACTCGCCAGACTTTCATCGCGCACGCCGACAGTCCCGTGCTTTTTTCCGCCGAATCACGACGATATCTCACTCCCCCTCTCGCTCTTTGTCCACTTTCTTGCTGGAGTCCCTTAGGAGCTTTCTGGGAGACAGAGGCGAGAATCGCTCTCAGGCTTCGGACGTCGCTGCCGTGTTGTGACGATGAGTTCCGGCACTTTTCGCTGCAACAACAAGCAAATTTTTTTCAAGCGTTAGTCACGATTCCTTCCATACGCTCGTTAAAGCGAGCTTTTAAAGTAAGATACTTTGCTACGTTCACTCAGCAAAGCATATGAAATTTCTTCACCGACTCCGACACACGCACCTGCACGCATCAAGTAAGTTTTTCATTTTGTTTACGTGCGCCCCACCCCCTCTCAAGGTAGTTTCTTAGGTGAGGTGAACGCTACTATATTCTTAGACAGATTTTTAACGCTCATTTCACTTTCCAATAATGCAACTTTGAATTTTCGCCAACATCAAATATGTTAGAAATAATAACTTTTGGTTTAATTTTAAATACACTGTACGCTTGGTTCTTAACATTAAGAATAACTTCTTTTTTTTAGGAAGCCTTGTCTAATGTTTAGCGTTTTATAGTTTGAGCGCGACTATTATGTGCGCTATTTACATTAAACGATAATGCTCGTTCCAAAATATTATCCAAAACATTCAGAAGACGTGCAAAAATAATTTTTGGATGGAATAATAATCATACATCTCGGTATTGTATGCTTTTAATGAAAGAATCAAATCGAATAAAAGATTAGTTTTATATAGATCCTACTATTGTATCAAATATTGGATTCAGCCTTTTAATACACTACGCTATAATTTTACGATACATTCGTCAATTCAATATCCTATTTACATTCGTAAGTTTGCTTCACGAAGTCTTGAATTGTATCGAGTCACTGGCTAATTTTCGTATTAAAATCAATTCGTAAAAGTACACCAAAGTGCAATTGCAACGTTCAAATATTATTAATAAGATCGAGCGTGGCTAGTCAATAATAACTACGTATTACAATTAACTCGACACTTTTCTATTTGAGATATAATTCTATGCTGTCGATTGCACCACACTACTTTTCGACTTGATACTTTAAGTAATATTTTTTATCGAAAATTTTCTAAAATTTTCTTAAATTTCAATGTTATTGTATGTTATAGTATGTAATAGTATATATTACTAATATATTAATGTAATATTATTCAATAATAGTGTAATTTAATTCAATAATTGATTTGTGAATGAAAACAATTCTATGATTAACGAAGATGTAATAAAAGCCAAACAATTATCCTAATGTTAATATAAATTAACAATTTAATTACAGAAAAAAATCTTGTTGTTTTTTTTTTACCTCACTTTATTCGAAAATTGTGTTTCTCATTACTTCTACATGCTATAGCATATCAACCATGTAGATATTATCGCCATATCCTATCATCAAAATATATTTATTCCATTCAACCATTTTTGGCTTACACCTTGGAGAACAATCTACGAGAAATTACAGAAATCTATTTTGATGAAATAATAACGTCCTCTTTAATATCGAACCATAAGATATTTGAAACATTTTCTCAAATATTACAAAGTTAATATTTTATTATTTGCAATATCTCTCTCTCTCTCTCTCTCTCTCTCTCTCTCTCTCTCTCTCTCTCTGTGTGTGTGTACGCGCGCGCACGCGTACGAAGCGTGCCGATGTACGAGAATGCATGTGCGTGCGAGATTGGGGGAACGGTGGAATGTACGTGAATGTAAATGGGTTAGCTCCCATGTTTGTGTGTAGTGTATATATGGTATGTGCACTGTTCAAGCCCGTAAAATCAATTAAGCCTTAGATCGAACACGAGTCACTAAATAAATATTATCTTAGCCATCTCGCCAGGTTTATACATATGTACGGCGTACTTACTTGTATGTACACTGAAAAGATTCTACAAGATGTAAAATGGCATGTCTGACATTTGACTTTTGTGCTTGCATACGAAATAATACAATACACCGTCACCTTTCCGTTAGTTCCCATTCCTTCGTCGTACAAACTGTCGATTTCGTCGCAACAACAACAACGAACGACAACAACAACAACAACAAAAAAAAAAAAAAAAAAAAAGAAAGAAAAAATAAAAGAGAGAAAAAAGCGGTGTAATGATAAATATATTTTATTTACATTTTAATATTTTAATCTCGTTTCATTGTGAAACATTTGTATGCATTCATAATTCATTGATATTTTATGACGAACATATTGTTGAGAATAATGAAGTATTATGACGATGCCATATACTCTGTTGGCTCTTTGAAAGTAAAATTATTTTATTATAATTGATGCATAGGCATTGATACTGTTTACCTGAAATTAGCCTTTTAAAAAATGACTCTTGCCACACTTTTTCTTTATATGCAATACGATATTAATTAGGAGTAATGAAATTTGAAGGAAACCTTGTTTGCAAGTATTTGCAGTTTCATTTTTTTTTTTTCTTTTTTTTTTTCAAATACATCGCGACTAAAACTTGACAATGGAGCCTTTAGAATAGTTATGCCGTACTATACCGATATGATATTTAAGTATTCGCAAATATAATGAAGGTTTCATATTCACACACACACACTCACATTTTACTAACTTAACTTGTGACCTCGCAAATTTCTCTTATTCTATAATTATCTCATACATGCATTGATTCTTTTGCAAGATTGTAAATTGAACTGTCAATTACATTAAATTCTCTAACTTAGTTAATATATTTTGAATTTTGTATAATAGATATATTATTAAATATTTATTTAATATAAAGTCCCGTTTGTTAAGGTTGACGTAGAATGGCTTACTAGTACTGAAAATATTTTCGATCAGGGTAATTTAATTATAATAATATATATAATAGGAAAAAATTGAAATAAATATCACAAGGAGATGATTACTTATTTGTAATGATGTTATATTTCACAATTTAATTATCATCATTGATAAAACGTTAATTCATAATGTTCGCTACACATAAATTGGAGTGAAATTCGATTGTATTACGGAGATCCATCAACTTGGCAATTTCAATTATTGCTGTGTTTACATTATACAACAATAAGAAGAATTGCTAATTGTATTATGCAAATAAGAGGTCGAAACCGACCATGAAACTAAGAAATTGCATGAGTTTGTTGCCTGTCAAAGATTGTCAGAGTAATCTTTTTTTACATTAAACGAGTATATTATACATAGCGTGTACGTTTATTATTATAATGATTATTATTATAACAATAATAACAGTGAAGATAATAATTATGATAATAATAATAATGATGATGATAATAATAATAATAATAATAATAATGAGAAAAATAATAATAATAATGTAGAAGCAGTTGATAGGTATAATAAAATATTAAGGAAAATATGAAATCGCAAATGACAATCAAGTAAAGAAGCTTATAATAAAGAAATCATTGCAAATGATTAGAAAAACTTATTCACTGCATTGTATATTTTATAAGTTCAAGGCACTACTTAGTCTTATAAGCAACGGTGCCTTTACTATACACAATAATAAGACTAAATAATAAATTGGGACATAATATAAATGTCAAATGCGCTTTCTTGATCTCAATTGTAACAATTGTGCTCCTCTCCACGCTTAACACTACGAATGAAATGATACATTTCCTATTCATTTTTTGTTTCCTTTTGCTATTTATTATTATTATTATTATTATTATTATTATTATTATTATTATTATTATTATTATTATTATTAGTTGTTGTTGTTGTTTTTGTTATTGCCGTTGCCGTTGTTATTGTTGTTGTTGCTATTGAGTATGTGGGAGAAGGTGTTGTGTGTGTGTGGGGGGGGGGGGGGGGGCTGGGAGGGTGGGAATGTGTATAGAGAGTCTCGATGTCTAGACTGTAACGCGAGTGGCTTATTTCGCAACGAGACATTGGTGCGCGAATTGAAAGCGATAAAAACTATTTGTTCGAGCAACGTTGGCTTTGCTTTACTTAAATAGTGCGGCGCTCGGTCAGAACAACTCGCCAAGCCTAACGTCAATTTCACAGATGAGATTAAGATTTCAGCGACCCGAGTGCCGAGAGACGATCGATGATCGGCACCACATACGCGCACTTAATCCTTTTAACCGCTCGGCCGCTCAATTACTCTTCTCGTCTTGCCAATAGGCGATCGGCAGCAAATAGGCAGCGGCGACACTTAATAGCCATCCTTCGGCCGATATATGCGTTACGCGCGTAAATAACAAAAGGTCGAGATAAGCGACACCGCGCACAGCGCCTGAATAATGGACTCCGCGTGAAAATGCACGGCCCCCTATCTTTATGGGCGCGACGGCTTTTATCAACACGAGAGAGAGTTTATTAGTTTATTAGCCGAGGCCGTCACGTTCGTTCTCGAAAATTCAGGTGCACGCGCCAGCCTATTTATAGATAAACGACTCGCGGCTTCCCAGGGACGAGGGACTCTTCAGCCACTCATTGCGTTCGTAGAAATGTGCATAATGGCAAATGGCATAATGGAGGTGGGGCGCCGCTCCCAACTGAAACCCATAGCCGAAAATCAGTCGTGGCCCGATAGTGCTTTTCACTTAAGCGATCGGGAAATTTACGATCGACCAATGGTGAAGCAAGAATAAGGTGAATCGATAACGTCCATAAAGCATTATCCCTATGAATAACAGGTCCCCTTTGTTTTAATATCGCGACGGGGCGATCGCGGATAAAGCGAGCACGACGAGAATGACTAACACCCGGTCGATCCACGAAATAACGATCGCGCGTAAGAGGGAAACGAGGGCAGGGAGGGGGAGGGGGCGGGCGGGGATAAATAGCCACCGCTTGAAATCGTCGGCGTTATCAGCGGCGCGTAGGTACTCCCCCGGGGCCCTCCTAGTGCTTTCCCATCCGATTGCGGCGCGCCTGCGTCATCGCGCGATTACCAAGCGTCAAGTGGATCGCGCGGGTGCGCGGGCGTAGCCGTTGAGAAACGTCCTTTCGCGGACTGGCGCCGCGTCGCGTCTCGTGGACACGGGGAGGTGGGGACGCGCGCGCGTGGATGCTTTTGGCCTGGAGACGAGGGACTCCGCGGTAGGGCGAAAGCGCCCCGGAGAATGTAAATGTAGTCCTGGGCGACTGGATCGCACGAGTTGTCGAGC